TCGTTGGAGGATTGCGACTGGGATTATTTCGAGAGTGGGTCTCTGCCGCTGCCTGCCGGAATTCCGGTTGCCATAAGCACGAACAACGTTGGCACGGAGACGACGAGCGCGGCTCAGGATTGGAGCTGTTGTCCTGGACGCGGGTCCACTGCTTGTCAGGTGGGTTGAGTTTGTCACTGTTGATTGAAAATTATGTTATTAAAGATCCTGTCCGCGGATTCAATTGATTCAATGCATTTTTTAGGAAGCTTGGATTTTGGATGAAAGAATCTATTATCAATTTCGTCGTTGCAAGGTGATTAAATTTGCATGGAAGATTTTTTTTTTTAAAAAGTTTGGAAAATATTTTGTTAAGGATATTAGAGTTGTTTGGCTGAAAGTTATAAAAATTATAGTATTCAAAATTGTTTATTTTAGTTTGAGAAATCATTTTGTAAATTTTTGAGACACTTTTTTGATTTTGTTTGTTAAATGAGTTGAGTTTAAGAGATTAATTGTTGATTAAAAATTATGATTTAAAAATTCAGCTGATAATGAATTTTTTAGGTAGCTTGGATAGTGGATGACGATATTTATTATCTCTATCATCGTTTTAAGGTGAACAAAATTGCATGAAAGATTTTTAGATTGAATTTTTTTTTTTAGAGAGTCTTGGAAAATTGAAATGTGAAGATATCAGAATGTTTGACTATAGATGTCCAAAAATTTTTTTTTATTTTAAATTACTTGAATTTTTAAATTGTCTTGGATGTGATTTCATGTCTTAACAAATAAGTTGAATCATTAATATTATTATCTAATCAAAATTGCATGGAAGAAATTTAATTTAAATATAATTTAAATAGCAAATGAAACTACTTTGGAAAAAAAATAAATAGAAAGACAATGTGATAATATTGTGATAAATAAATGTTTATACTACTACAGATGTCTAAAATTTAGAAAAAATTGAAATATGGGAGTTTTTAAAAATTATTAAAAATCATTTCTTAAATTTTATATGAAATAATTTTATAAATTTCTCTTGCATTTTCTTGTCTATCTCTTATCAATATTACGCTGTAATCTGTATCTATATGTTACGCAATTTTTATCGTCATTGCAAAAATTCAATATTTTTTTGCAAATGATCATCAAATACAATTACACATTTATTTATATTATAACTTATAAAAATAAAATTAAATTGAATTAATTGTTAATAAAAAGACAACAATATTAAGATACTCTTGATAATTTCATAAATATTTCCGCATTAAAACATTTATCACATTTATCTTATTTAAGTAAATAAAAAATCAAGAAACTTCACAAATATCTTTCATAATAATTTAAGATGATGTAATTCAATATCTATTCTATATTTAAATATTTACTTTACTGCTAATTGAAACTGTTTGTTAATAAAAAGACAACAATATTAAAATACTCTTGCTAATTTTATAAATATTTCCATATTTAAACATTTATCACATTTATCTTATTTAAATAAATAAAAAATCAAGAAACTTCACAAATATCTTTCATAATAATTTAAGATGATGTAATTCAATATCTATTCTATATTTAAATATTTACTTTACTGCTAATTGAAACTGTTTGTTAATAAAAAGACAACAATATTAAAATACTCTTGCTAATTTTATAAATATTTCCATATTTAAACATTTATCACATTTATCTTATTTTCACAAATAAAAAGTCAAGAAACTTGACAAAAATCTTCCATAATAATTTAAGATGATGTAATTCAACTGTATTTAAATACTTATTTTACTATTAATTGAAACTGTTTGTTCAATTAATTCAAAAACCTAATAATACCAATTCTAACTTTTCATCATTCCCTTTTCCAGGCCTGTGGAGGTTCTCGAGGAGCAAACGTATTACCAGTACCAGTACCAATTCCAGTTCCAGTCCCATATCCGGTCCCAGTCCCGGCATCTCTGTGGACCAGCGACTTTGCAGCAGCCGCATCCTCCATGATAAGTCGCAGCGGCGATGCCCACTCAGAGCCAGGAACACTGAGGTTGAGAGGCGACCCAGCTGCACCCTGGTTCGCCTGGCACCCACGATTCAACCAACCCTTGCACGGTTCCAGACTCGATCCAAGGTTGACCAACGTGTTCGACCCCGCTACCCTAGGTTCCTTCACGCCCGACCAAGTGTTGTACTCGACCATCGAACCATCCTCCATACCGACCACCGAAGAGCTTCGTCAACGAATGACCAACCTGCACATCAATCGAGACGAGAGCGACGATGCTGCGAACACGAAATCCGTGGAAACGAGGCAAGAGGCCGCTTTGCTGGATGTTTCGAGCGAGTTGAAAGTTGTTGATCAATTATCCACCGATGTACAGATAAATAAGGATAAATTGGAGGAGTCGAAGAAGGGAGGAAGCGATGACGAGACGAAAGAAGCGAAAGAGGATGAGGAAACGAGCTGTCAAGATTCTGTGAGCGTCTCTTTTGAGAACAGAAGGGGGCAAAGAATGTACGAGGACTCTGGCAGTTCTTCTGGCCGATCCTCGGCGGATAGTAGCGACTTGGAGGACGATTCCTCGTCCCACAGGTTCTCCAGGGTGTTCGTTGTGAACGACGATTCACTCACGAGCGACAATGACATTGAAGATAATGGAGACGAGGACGAAGATTCTGATTCCGCTGCCGAGGACGGTATCACTTTGAAGAGAGTCACGGCTCTTCCCGACGAAGAACCTGTGGTCCTCCAGTACGTTAGATTCTTCAACGAGGACACGAATTTTGAGAATGCGAATGGAGAAGATTCGGAGAAGGATAGAACGAGATCCAGCTGCAAGGATGACAGCTTGGAGATGAAAGATACGTCTGAACGAGATGGGAATGTTAATGAGAAACGTAGATCTCGAGGTAGAAGGCATAATTTAGAAATAAGCGATAAGAGGATTTCTTTGTCGTTGCAGCAACGAGAGATGCCCGAGGAAATGTACATAGCGAGTGACAACGATTGTTCAGAGAGTCAGATCGAGTTAAAATCTATAAAAAGTTTGGATCCTGACAGCATAGAACCTGTTATATTCGATAATTCCACCGAGAGCGTTGTAGAAAGGGTAGAGACAGTTATGGAAGAAAATAACCTAAAAATCGTCGAGGTTCCCTTACAAGATGAAACAGAATCTAATAATGAAAATAATTTGGATAATCAAACGCAATTGTCATCCACCGATACCTGGGACTCTAACATAATTCCAGACTCGTTGGAGGTCTCTGCACAGGAAATCGTGAACGACAACGAGGAGAGTTCGAAGTTTCACTCAAGAATCGAAAATCACATTAATTCCGAGGATAATAACAATCATTTTGAAACAATAATCGGTAATTCTAAAATAATCAATGATAATCATTCGTGCGCACCAACTGATTCAAATTTAAATATAACGGAAAATTCTTTAGGATGCGAGAGTTTCACCAGCAACGAAACGAACACGACAGGCAGCGAGATAAGCAGCGACGAGCTTCACGAGTACGAGGTTACATCGTCAAACGCCATCTTTTTCGAAAACAATGATTTACTGTCACGATTGAACAAAAGTAACGAAGAAAGGACATCGTGGCTGAATCAACAACAAAGCAACAACAAGAATGCCAATTACGAGGAATCCGGCATCGCGGCATCGAACAGCGCGAGATGGAGGGAGCAATTATTATCGCAAGTCGAGGGAACAATCGTTGAGCAACCTTTGGAGGTTATCGATACCGAGATCGATTCATTACCAATCGCCACGGAGGATGATCGATCGAGTCGAACTGCATCCAAAGATGGCGCGACAGGAGACGACGACACAGAGTCAAAATCAGACTCGAACGTGGGCAAGATCGAAACAACGGTGGACAAGATACAAGAAACGTTGAGCGCAGGTAAAGCGGATAATGCGCATGACAGCACGGTGAGAGGCGAGTGTTCTGCCTCTGGTCAGGTAGTAGGAGAAGTGGGAGGTGGAGGTGGTGAAGGTGGTGGTAGTGGTGGTGGTAGTAGCGGCGTGGAAGAGGGGATAGAAGGGGTTTCGACACGGTTTCTCTCAGTCGAGCGACGCCCGTCCATTGGAAAGGAGAATGGATTCCCCGCTGCTGCGTCGACCAAGGATTCTAACATCAGAGACAACAGTTTTATTCATCAATATTCACCAACGACGGCCAACAACAGCAACAAGTACAGAAGCCTCGTGATGATCACCCAGGAAGCATCGTACCAGCCGGTGAGCGTGATCACCTCGGATACGACAACCTTGTTGCAGCCGGATGAAGTGCACCAGGCTAGCCAAGGCCTGGCTGGCTACTTCCAGCTGGCATTGGAGGCCGTCTCGGAGCAACCGCATCGCAAGAATGGCCAGGGACCGAGGAAACCGTTGATGGTGAAGCGTTTGGCCAGTGTGACTGCGAATCATTCGGAAACGGAGGTAGACAGCGGGCTGAGTGTTGGTAGTGCTAGTGAAAGCGACGATGTTTCGGTGAAAAATTCGGCGAAAATTGGTAACAAAGTGGAGAGCAACGAGGAAAACGTTGGCAAAGAGCGTTTGGTTGGTAACGAGCATCGTGAAGGCACAAGGACACGTGTCTCGTCGCAGTCCAGCGATGAAAATTCTGCTGGCGGTGGGGTGGTGATCTTGGAGGAAGGCCTGGCTGACGATGATTCATGGGTGGAAGAGGTTTCTCACGACGAGGATGAGCCTGGAGCTACGACGGCCACCGAGGAAAGCTCTGAGGATGAAGCCAATAATCTTGGGGATAGGGAAGAGGAACTTCGTGGCTATCATAGACAGGCTATCGACTTTACTTTGCACACCATCGTGGAGGAATCTTGCGAGGAGAGCGAAGCTGAGCCCAGTTTGGCCGCTGGCAGTCCATCCAAGAAGCAGAGACCTCCGTCGGCCTCTGAACTGGAGAAGTACTTCTTCTTTGGCCTTGGTGGTGATGGAAATAATTCAAGCATGGGTTCACGCGAGGTGGACAGTCTTTCAGAGACTTCGTCCATTTATTCGGAGGGTTTGGAGTCACTTGGACAGGACGAGGCTCCAGGAAATGGACAGAGTCAGGAGAGGTCGAATTCTGGAGAGGGATTTTTGAATTCATCCAGATTGGAAAAATACTTTTTGTCGGAATTTCTAGGGTTCGATCAAGACAGGAGAGATTCGGATGGTTCCGTAGGAAGTGATTCTGAAGGAAGACCCAGTCCAGAGGCACAGAGAAGGAAGAAGCTGGTTCGCGCGAGAGGTACCGGTAGATCGCACAGTTCTTCCTTGGATAATTTACTCGCCCTTACTCAAAGTTCGCAGAACTTGAGCTCGCAGAACTCTCTTCAGGATTTGAGTTTGAATCAGGATGCGCAAGAGACGCAATCAGAAGGCTCATCCACGGAGACTGATGGAGCAGATGATGGACAAACAGCGGCCTTTGGGACGGATGGACAATTTGACACTGTGAAACGGAAGAAGAAGAAGCCTAGAAATCTAGGCACGCAGAGTCCACGTGTTCCTGACGATAGGAATAAAACTCCTGAGCCTAACAGAGAAATGGTGTTGGTTGGAGAAGTAGTGATGGAAAATGATGCAGAAGCTATTAATTCTGAGGACTCTGAACGAGCAAAAACACCTCAACCAGAATGTATTTTGTCTTCTTCTTCCTCTCCATCCGGTACCGTCAATGCTTCTTTAACTTCAACGTCGCTTGTCGATTCTTCCAGGAATGTACAAATGAGTTCAGGAGAATCTTTGAACTACAATCAAAGGTCGAAACAGCAGTCAAGAGATTCTGGATTTGTAGGCAGTTGTGACGATCTTCTGCAACATCAGAAATTACCAGAGGATGGCCAACCTGGTTCCGAAATCAGTCAAGAGAGTGGAAAAGATCGTTCCAATAACGAAACTGGTGAGAATGTTCAAGATGCGAATCAAATTTCCAATGAAGGTATCTCTGGAATCGAGAAAGGAAACGTGGTTAAGGTAGATCATCATTTAAGTCACACTGCGCTGCCTCACTTGCCAAACGCTTCTCTCTCGAGGAAGGATAGCTTCAACAATTGGTCCAGTGACGAGGAAACGAACTTGATGATGTCCAAGATGAGACAATTCTTCAAAACCATGGTGGCCAATTCGAATGGGCAAAATCAGAACACAACTAATGCAAATTCAAGCGCAGCTTCACCTGCACCCAGCCCTAGATTAGCGGGCTATGCATCAAAAGCCAGATTATGTTCACAAAACCGTACAAAGCCACCTCAACTGGTATATTTTGAAAACGAATTGACTAGATTAATGAAAACAGTACCAGGGATTCGAGACGAACAAGTAAGAGAAATAGTCGAATACCTTAGCTCTGAAGACACGTGGTCAGATTCATATGATAGTTCTGATTACACTAGCTCCGACTTGGAAGGAGCAGCAGGTGGTCGCAGATCAGCTTTACAGGAACAGATCTCGCAGAGTTGTCAACAAATTATCAGCAAATTTGACACGACGTCGGGTGACAATCTATTAGACAAAGAGAGAGAAGATAAAACTGTGCCAACTCCTGGAATTCAGCCACCCTGTTTAGGCAGAGATACTGCGTTTGTGTATCAGAAATTAGTTCAGAGTTTCACAAAGATGGCAGGTGATGGAGTTAGTTCTGATGCCAATTCGACACCGCACAGTAGTCCACCATTGATAGCTAAAGTGATGCATCATATAGGTAGTAGATTGGTTGCTTTAATGCATGAAGTCTCTGAAGGTGGGCCAAGTGTGCAGCATCACTCCACTAGTTGGAGACGTTATTCTCAACATCACAGAACACCTTCCTCAGCTTCTACCACTGAAGATGATGATTCCACTTCAGATTCTACTAATGCACCTTCGTCGACGCATTTGCAGTTACCCAGATCAAAATCTCATGATCCTTTATTGTTGATTAATAGTCATCCAGCAGCTTCCACTGGACAAGAGGGAGAGGAACGAGAAGCTAGTGATTATGAGAGGTTCTCTTGGAGAGGCAGCTTTGAATCAGCGCTAATGGCTGCTGATTCTAGGACGAAATTAAGCCTTTTGGCTTGTTCTGGAGATAGTGTCGGTGCTAGTGCTAGTGCTAATGCCTTAGCAATGGCAGCTAAGAGAAGAAGTGCTGGAGATTTGTTGTTCAATCCTAAAAGCTTTTCAAGAGAACAATTGGACAGAGTTAGGAGCTGTGGTTCCATTGGGGGTGGAAGTGGTGGTGCTGCCAGTGCTGGATCAGTGGAAGAAAGAATCTGGAGTAATAGAAGAAGATCATCTGTTCCTGATGCTAACACAAGAGGGGAATCTGGTAAGTTTATTTTATGTTTATTTTCTTTATTTGAATTTCTTTTATTGTAAATTTAAAATTTTTTAAAATTTTCATGAAAAAATGAAATAATTGAGCAAGATATTAAAATGTTTTTTGTTATGAAAGAATGAAATGATTTAAAACAAATTAAAATTTAATTGGAAAATTAGTTTAGAAATGTAAATATTTTTGAAGTACAAATACAAATTAAAAAACAAATTAAAAAATTAAAAATAGTTTGGTAAACAGAACTCTATTCAATGTGAAAAGTATATATCAACTTGAACTTTAGAATACATTTGTGATACTCTTATGATTCTTAACATTTCAAATGAAGACAAACAACATTACACAAGTGTGACATAATATAGTATACTTTTGATGATGAATAGAGGAGTATAATAAATTGTTTCATAATCGTAAATTGCATTTTTAAATTCTTATATAATACTTTAAAATAAACATAAAATTTCTATATATACATATATAGATTTCTTCTGAAGAGTTAAGAAATATGCAATTATGCTAATGACATAATAAAAATAATTTCTTTTCTGATTCTATCTATTATTTTGAAGTAATCTATTCCAAGATTAAATCATTTTTAACCATATATATTATTAATTCTGTTTTATTTCCATTTTCAACATTTTCTTTTTGATTCTAGTTTTTTTGTTTACATTTTAACTTTTTAAATATCTTTTTTGTGTATAATATCAGTCTATTATAAAAAATAAAACTGTAAATGTGATTTGAATTGTATATCGTAATGAATGACGTGGATGCAGCATGGATAAAGAATAATTGAGCTGAGTGAATGTTTAGAGTATTGATTGCGAGTGAAAATAATTCTGAGAATATAAATGAGGATTGGAATGTATGATATCACATGAAGATTTATCTGCATAAAAAGAATATATCTTTAAGAACATAATGTGATTTACAAGAGTAAGAATTGTTTTTATTGTAAAATTTTTTTAATACTAAATAGTATTTGTAAATTGTTTAATATCTTAGTTCTAAATATTTTAATTAGTTCCATGAAAGATTTAAATTCTCTTTTTTAGGATTAGAGTTTCGAGTACACAATAGAATATTTAAATATAATAATTTCAGAAAATTTATGATTGAATACCTTGAAATCATTAGATTCTATAGAGTGTATTTATACTTAGAATTCCAAATTTTATTGAAAACTCAAAAGAATATTTTTTGGATCATCAGAGTCTAAAATTAAAATATAAAATATTAGTTTACGTCAAATTGTTAAATTTTATAAAATTTGTGAATAAATTTTGATCTACTAAAAATAAAATATATCTAGAACTCAAAATTTAAGAAAAATCTAAATCGATTGAATCCAGAGATCAAAATATAAAATCTCTGTCATTCTTAATTACCTACCACCAAACGTCAACCAAATAAAAATGCAAACCAATATATTAACAGATACGTCTACAGGTGACGAGGACACCGAAGACGAGCTCGAGTATAGTGGTGAATCTCGAGCAACGACTCTTCCACGCGGAATGCAATCTGCCATCACTGCTGCTACCAATTCTTTACCACGTTTACCAGCGTCCACCGCACCTTCCGGTTTAACGACGACGTCAACCACGCCATCAACGACAATGCACAAAGCGCACAGTGTCTATCATTTTTTGCCTCAACATTCTGGCGTGAAATCGGCCAGATACCGTCCTCCAGGATTCGCGAGGAACAGCAATGTTCCTGGTGTATTGGGAGGACCAAAACGTGCGGTCAGTGCTCCGGGACTCCAGGTCTCAGGATCTCAGTCTTCCAATGGAAAACGGGACAATTCGAGGTCGAGAAGGCAGCAGACTATGTCTCTCACGCCTGGTAAGTCTTCTTCCAAGTTTTCTTTATTATGTATATTTCTTTTAAATTATATGTGCATTAATATTCAAAATATATATTTGTATTTATTCTTTTATATATCTTTCTATGAGCATGATGATTAAAAGAATTATAAAAAACGTACAGATCATTAGAAAATTCCTTAATGAATATGCAATCATATATCTGAGTAATTAAGAAAATCTGCAAACAGGAAAAGTAATGTGAATCCGTGCTCTATAAAGTCGATGTTAATTTGTATTTAAACATACTCTCATGGAAAAGCATGTTATATCTTACCGAGACGAGTTAATTAAGATTGATCTCCATTTAAAGTGAAAATCTATTTACGTAGTATTCATGGATGAAAGATAGGTTGATAAGCATGCTATAAATGAAGATATGATGGTTTGTGATTCAAAATTCTCCTAGATAAAAAATAATTTAAAAAAATTTTATAATGATATAAATTTATTCTTAAAATTTTTTTATTAAATTTCTTAAATTTGTTTTTTTAAATTTAATAGAAATAAATATAAGTGAATGCATTTTGAAAAGATTATGATATAAAATAAAAATTAATTTCATAAAAGTTTCATAAAAATCTTTATAAATAAATTATGAAATAATTTTATTTTTGCAATTTGCATCCAGAGAAGAATTACATTATATGATTCGTGTTGATACTCTTTCAGTTACTCAATCACTCGCGATTTCGCTGATTAATCAACAATCTCTCATTTTCGTTTCCACGTTTGATCAACACGATTAATTGCGAAACGTAAACTGAAATAAAGTTACGAAACTTCTCGATCCTGAAGAATTTTCTGCAACTACTATTTCTATATATATTCAAAACAAAATCATTATCAATTTTTATTGAATTAAAAATGAAATAATCATCGTAAAAATATTTTTATTATTATTGTTATAAATTACGATCAACATAGGATCAATATAGATCAACATTAATATTTTTTTACTTAAAATAATAATATTCTTTTTTATTTTTTCGTGCACAATGAAAAAAATATACGATTTCATTGAAAGAAATAAAGTTAACCTCAAAATATATCAGAAATTTAAAACTACGCAACTTTTATATTTATCAATTTTTCATTAAACATTTCATAATTTAAAACTTATTTGAGATATGCAAATTGCATGAGTCACTTGTTATAAATAGAATAAAATAAACAAAAGTATTCGTTTTAACTTATCTAAATGAATATTTAACACATTTTTTTCAATGTTTACTAAATTTTTATAGTTTGAAGTCAAATCCAACAATACAACACGTTAATATCACTAAACAAGACGACTAGAAAGTTGAAAAAAATTAATCGTATCAATATTTAAAAGAAAAAGGCGACAGTCAGAGAGAAATCTGACAGTACGCATACGCGAGACACAACGTTATACCGATCGATTGTCGCACCATAGGTCGGAACGAGAGGAAGAAGAAAAGCGGAAAAAGAAGGGAAATCTCGAAACAGTTACACCTGTTACACTCCAGTAAATAGTTTAAAACGTCATCCATTTACAAATAGCGTTCTACTTATAGCCATGACTCTTGAAATCGAGTGTCATAGATCGAATTTTACGAAAGTTACTCTCGTGAGAAAAATAATCGATTTTCGATTTTTGATAGTATCGATGAATTTTTTTAGTAATTATATATGATCAATTTTTCTGATCATCTTGTTAATTTAATATTCTTTTTTATTTTATTTAATATTATTTGACGAATTTTAATTTTGATCAAATTAATCTCACACGAGAAAGAATCGATTTTTAATTTTCGATAGTATCTACGAATCTTTATAGCGATTGTTTGCAGTTGATTAACAAAATCGATTTTTATAGTCGATTTTTCCAAGTATTTATTGTTGATTTATAATAAATTTTTCTGAAAATATTCTTTTTTATTTCATTTAATAAAGTATTGATTTATCAGTGATATTATTATTTCAATTTTAATATTTATGATATATAATTATATAATATATTATAAAGAAATTTTTAATTTTAAATACGTGATAAATAATATATTGTATACTTAACCTTTAAAGATTAATTTTATAACAATTGTAACCTTTAAGATTTAATTTTTTTATAACTAATTTTTATTATATTTAAACCTCATAACTCTAACTTTTAAATGTTACTTAAAGTTATTCTAAATCATTAAAAAATTAATTAAATTTTTCGAAACTCGAATCAAAATTCTTCAAAAGAAACAGAACATATATAATAATAATTTAATATAGGTAACAATTTTAAATATATATATTTAAATTTTCCTCTTATCTTTTGTCACAAACTTTCCTAACCTAACCTAATAAAAGCAATGCTTCCAATTCCAGATCTACATCCATTAAACTATCACAACGTTATGATAGACATTTCACTGCATATGTTTGCATTCCAATGAAACGATAAGTAAAAAAAATTTTATGGTATATATAACATTTAGTTATATAACATTTAGTATATATAACTCAGTTTAAGCTTGAATGGAAAGAAATAGCGTAGAACTGCAAACTCCATTTCCCTTGCTTTCAATTCGGCTCGAATCACGCGAATCAGTGATTCGTGGGCCCATTTCTATGGCAAACTCGTGAAATTTGCTCCAGATTCGTGTCACGTACCATAGAAATTGTTTCTATAGCCACGTTTGAAGTAACTAAGTGATAGCAGAATGATTTTGTCGTTAGAAATCCTTAAAAGTATAATGGATTAATTGATTGACTTCGAATTTTTGTAAGTTGATATTATAAAAGATATTTAATACACATTTATGAAACATTTTATAGAGAATTGATTTTAAAAAGCAAAACGATGGTAACAGAGACAGAACTATTGTATCTATCTCCTTTGTTTTATTTAATGCAAATTTCAATTGACTGAATTCAAATATCAAAAAGAAAATTAATGATTCATTTCCAAAGGGAGTATTAAATATCTTATCCTAATTCTAAGTAGAAAATATTAAAAAATTATTTTTGAAAATTGTAATTCTTATAAAATCAATACTTTGGTATTATTTTTTCTATCATAAGAAGAATGACAAAATATTTTGATTAATTGATTATATATAAGATTTTAAATTCAATTATATGAAAAGGAATGAAAAGGAGAATTATGATTTGAATCAACTTTATTTTTGGACAGTCGTTCGTGCATTGAACGGATCGTTTCCTCTTTAAAACATGGCATCCCGAAAGGGTTGATTTTTATAAGGGATGAAAAGGAAGAAGAGAGATCCTTCACTCTACAGACCGATGATATTATTTTCACTGCCACTCCCCAGTTGCATTCGTGGCTCGTATGGATCAATAACCGAGAAGACCACTGTGATTCGAAACTCTTTAATTAATTACCGATTACAGAGAAAGATAAGAGAAATTAATTAAAGAAGGAAATTAATAGGAACAATAAACTAAAGAACTGTTTAATTAGAATGAAGGTAAATATTTTAAATTTTATCATCATAATAAGTGATATAGTTCTATAATAAGATGTATATAAGAAATATGTTTTAATGAAAAAAATTGTTAAAAAATATAGTAATAAGTTATAATTAACAAATATATAAAAGTTCTATTAGTATAAGAATTATATTCTAGATCTATTAGGAATTTCTTACCAAAAGAATTTGTTGAAAAGTAATTTAATTAGAAATAATAATTTACAATGATATATTATATCAATTCATATAAAAAGTTGCACAACAAGGAAATTTTTATTGAAAGAAACAATTCACAAGCCAACAAAAATCAAAGTTTTAGAAGGATAGCAAAACAAGTTCCTTTTTACATTTCTTTTTCTATTAGATATGGAAGAGTGAAAATTAATCTTTGCTTTTTACATGAGGAGCTGTTGCAAGACACTTTATTTTCTGAAGCAAACAAGACAATACACTTTCTCGAAACCAACGATCCCTCGTTCCAACCATTCTCGTAGCCGTGTAACTTTAAAGCTATATAAATTATTTCAACCGGTGGAAACGATCACCTTTCAGTCGCCAGTAACCATTGCATTTTCGTTGGAAAAATAAGGAAAGTAACGATAATATTCGTATCTTATCAGAAACGTGTTTGCAATTCGTTACATCATATTCCGTTTCAAATTAGAAAATTAAAATTGTTAACAGTTCGTAGGATCAATTGCAATTTACAGATTTTGCTTTTCGAATAAATTACAAATATTTATTTTCAAAACAATAAAATTTTACTTCGTACATAACATTTGAGTAGGGAAATTTAGCATGGGTTGAAAGTGATGTAGTATATTCTAATCATCAAATGTTTCATTTCAATAATGGATGGATTAGTTCATCAAAATTTTTATACTCGAAAGAATTGAGAACCACGGGTAGAGGATAAATTAGTTACTACACGTATTTTAAATAAAGCATTAGTGTTGCCAAATAAAGCACAGTGTTCTAACTTGGGTGCTCGTTTGAGCACAGATAGAAAAAATTGGATCTAAAATTAGATTTCAAATACAATGCTATAAATTATTTCTCTGACCATTCTCTGACTATTTATCTAAACACATTTTAAACTTTGATATAATCCTTAATAATTCTTAGACCATTATCTTTTTTGATTTTTGAAGTTAATTTATTTATCTTTTATAATATTGACTATTACAAATTAAATTTCAAATATTCTAATTCTGTGCATTACAACTGATCTTATTTTGAATTTATATGAGAATAAAAAATATTTTGGTTCAATAGTTAAATAAAGAAAGATATTACGTTTTTATTTTTAAACTATAAATTGAGGAATTATATAGAAATAATAGAAAATATGGAAGTAATTCAAAAAATTTTACGATCCATCATTGTGATTCACATAAAATTTAATGAAGCGTGTATTGAACGGTATTAGGTATTTAAAGTTTTACGGTTAAAAGATTCAGTATAAAAGGAGTAAATTTTGCCGACCTGAATAATAAGTTTTAAATAAGTCGTTCAGAAAATGGAAGATGGG